ATAAATATATTTCCTGAGCACAAACTATTCTAAAAATGGTTAACAGCAAGTGAAAGAAATATATCAATATTTGTCTAAAAGCTTTATAAATAGAATAAGCTATTTCAACAGGACACTCGGTTAAGGATTCTCTTCCATAATCAATAGTACACAGATTGTATTCAATAAATCTGTTTCTGTGTATATTGTATTCTTTGCACAAGACCTCTTGAACTGAACACATCCCATTCAATTTTCAAATTTGGCAAATCCACAATGACTATGTGTTACACACTGCTTCCAGTATATTTATAACTTCAACAACTGAGCAGTGCTGGGGATTCTTTGTTAAAAAAGGAACCAGTGCTTATTTGGACCAGTTCTTGTTTTTTACTTCAAAGGAATCATTTTATATACAGTAGTGAGCTTGGCAAATTTTTAATTAGCATAGACTTTCTTCTAGCATAATTAGCAAAAGAGGGAAAGTTATCAGTTGAACAATCTGATAACTGATTAATCTGTAACAGTGACTACAACTTAATAAATTGTGGGAGAAGAAGTGAAGAAAAAGGAGGAAGATTGCAGTCCACAAATGTTTTATACTGATCTTTTTTTCCACTCCAACCTCATTTTATGTTAGAAGCCAATGATATTCACAATAAACAATCTGAAAAAAAAAATACCAACAAGTATTTACAAAGAAAGATAATCCTAAATTTATACCTGCACCTAAACAAAGATTAGATTTTTTAAAAAAAAAAAAATTTCCCATTTTTCTCATATTCTCAGGTAATTGAAGATAACCGTTTCATTTAAAAAATAAGTCATCTGAAGAAATCTTTCTTTCAGCTAAATACATCATTTTTTGTCTTCAGAAAAAGTTTCCTAAACATTTCCAGATGATAAAAGCTCTTTACTGATTCACTTATTAGCCTTCTTTATAAAGCTTTGGGAGAAAATATGACAATAAACTAAACCTTAATTTGACATCAATGTAACTTTTAATATCCAGCATAATTTTTGATTATAATATTTTTAGGAAGATGAGATATCTATCTGAAGAATCCTTATCTGATGACAGGATAAAATGCTCCATCTTCTCCTTCCCAAATGTAAATTGGGAAGTTCACATTTCATAGTCAAATGAATTTGAAATCTTATATATGCAATGTGAAGATAAACACACTTGACTTTCTTACATGACTGTTATAAAGATTACTGCAATTAAAAACTGAAAGTGCTATAAATATGAAATTGCTAACAGATACTGTAAAATTTCCACAGAATCTTTATACTGACAGGAAATGCACAGCACCTGCCCTTAGTCAATATTTTCTTTTTCAACTGTAACTATAATTGTTCTCTTTCAATGCACTCTACAACCAGCAAAAGGAACATTAACATCTAAACATGTTTACATTTTTAAAACTACAGTGGGGATTAAATAGAAAGATGTATCACTTGAAATTTAACTAAAAACATCAGGTTTTGCATGAGTGTGTTTTCAAGGGAAATTACCTTCGTATATTTATGGTGCTACTCTACTGCTTTTTCATTTTTTTCTCTTTTCCCCTAATCCAAAGAAAAATCAAAATGCTTAATCCATGATGAGAGAGAGGGAGAGAGGGAGAGAGAAAGAGGGAGGGAGGAAGGGAGGGGAAGGAGAGAGAGAGATTTTGTGTTATGTTTGAAATTTATGGAGAAAATTAAACTTTGGTAATATAGTTTCTGACATTCTGCATAATCATAGAGTTGATAGAAATTGTACATCTCTGATTTATACCCTGTCATTCTTAAAAAAAGAATCTGGCAAGATAGCATAAGTGTAGTCATATGTAAATATTTTAACCTTTATCAACAAACATTCTGATGAAGATACATCATTGCAAACAAAAATGGTCTTTTCATTAATTTTTGTATCTATATTAGCTAATAATGTTCAAATTGGTAATTGTTATTAATACTTTACCTCATTATAAGTAGTGAACATAAAAGGAAATACTGTTCTATACAAATCTAAAATCTCAGCTTATAAATTATTTATATAAATCAACCAAAATAATAAAGTCACACAAAGTATCTCTACAGCAGTGTTTCTCAACCTTGACAATTTTAAGGCATGTGGACTTCAACTCCCAGAATTCCACAGCCAGCCTTGCTGGCTGTGGAATTCTGGGAGTTGAAGTCCACATGCCTTAAAATTGTCAAGGTTGAGAAACACTGCTCTACAGTAATCTATTGACAAGAGTGAATAAAAATATCAGTTAAGTAACTCTCATAAATGCACTCATCTATTAGAATATAGTTTGAGGTATAATGTTTGTATTCTTACAAGACCATAACATGTCAGTCTGACATTTGTGAAAATGAGACCTTAAAAACTTGCATAAAGTTCTAAGCCTTATAAAACATACTGGAATTAAATTAAAGAACAGAAGTGGCATACAAATCTGAGTAAATAAATCAATGACACTGAACTTACATTTTTAAAAACACCCTCTATATATCTATCTGGATAGAGTAGCTGATTTAATTGACAGTCAAAGTATGTATGAAGAACTGTACAGCACTGTGTTTTTGGATGCAGCCAGCCCGGCTCTAAAATTATTTTAAGTGTTCTAAAAATCTCTTATCTTCTGTAGATTTCTCTCATTTTATGGACTCAGATATTAAATAAATATGTTACTTTGTTAACTGGTTAATATAGGGTATATAAAATACCATTATCAAAATGCTATGGTCTTCTAAATCAGGGGTCGTCAACCTTGGCAACTTCAAGTCTTGTGGACTTCAACTGGACTTCTGGGAGTTGAAGTCCACAAGTCTTAAAGTTGCCAAGGTTGACGTCCCCTGTTCTAAATAGCCTGAAAGTGTGATTTAAAAAATTGCTTTAGAACCAACAGTGCCTGGAGCTGTAGAATTATAAGTAGATAAGAAAGGGAACAATTCACTTGTCTTCACTCATGTGGTCCTTTTGCTTTTCAAACCAGTGCTTGGAAACTTGGATTTAAAGAAGTTCTACAGTGATTGTTACTTTGGACCTCAAGAGAAAGAGCCCTTGGGACAGGCATGCTTTATGCCTGAATTCACAAATGCTTAACTTGTTTACTGGGTTCTCCTTAAACATAGACTTATAAACCAATCAAACAGATTGAATTTGCCTAACACGCTACTACACATATATATGCACAAAATCAAAGTTTTGAGTTCAAAGGCTAGGTATGTAACTGGCAAGTACAGGTACTGGATCTATAACTGACCCAGTTAGATACATTGTACAAACACGCCTATTTGGGCAGAAGACGTCTCACCTTCCCATATCCCATTTCATTAAGATGACCTTGTGAGAAACACACTCACCGGCCAGAAATTTGACAGAGTCACTAAGTGAAGCAGCAAGCAGTTTATTGAAAAATACATTTTTGCAAGAACAGGTGGCTAGCAAAGCAGGTCCACCCAAAGATAGATTTCAGCACCATTTTATTCCCTAAGCCCAAAGCACAAGTCCCTCCCTTGCCACCCCATGTGACAAGGCCACAAATTTACACCCTATCCGAAATGCCTAATTCCCCCATGTGAATCCCCTACTGGTGTCCTACCCGTGTTCCCCATTTGCTTTTGCCCTTTCTAAGTTAGTTTCCCTATTAGCAGTGTGTGTGTGCAGTTTTGCCTAGCCCACAGGTCCTGTTCTCTTGGAACCCATCTGCATAGGCATAAGCAGTTAGTTTCATTATTATGTGCAAGCTCTTATGGTTAATGTCTATGGAGATTCTCAGTCAACTGAAATTTCTTGTTTTTGAGGGAATATGAACAGATTTCACCGGGCAGGAAACATCCTGCAGCCAAGAAGGCCCCACACACATCTGCACTACTCAGGTGACCCTGAAGACACAGACAAACCTCAATGACTCTGTAAAAGAATGCAAATGATCAGCTGTCTGCAAGAAATAAAAATCCTTCCATTCCCCACCATCCAGTCAGAGCTGAAGAAGCTTCTAGGATGAGAAGCGAAATGTCTTCAAAGAAAAATAAGGAAGTCCAGTTGCCTCCTGAAAAAGCACCTTTGAGATTCCTGATTAAACTGTCAGCCAGCTTGTTTTAAGACCACAGACAGTTCCTGTTCTTCTAAACCTTCGCTTTTTCTTGTTATTCTAGGCCACATTCATTTTCCAGGTATTTGTTAAATTTGGTCTGATGCAAAAACAACATTTTTATTTTCCACATCTTGAACCCCCAAATCTTAAATCTGCAATCAGTAAATGCTTTGAAGAAAATATTCTAACTCTGCTGCAAATGCACCAAAGAAAGAAAATTGTGACTTCCTAGGTAACAGAAATGAAGAAATCTAGCAAGCCAGGAAAAGCCATGAATTTCTGCTAAGTAGTGTAGATAAACATATAACCTGAGTGAAAAAAAGAAAGCCAGGTTTTGAATCAGACTGTTCTGACCCAAACTGTTCTGAACGCTGGCAGTCTACTTGTAAAAACTACAAATAAAAGGTAAGAGCATTTCTGGGTGTATTTTCCAAACTACTGTTCTGATCAAGCCTTATTTTAGTTCCCAAATGCCCTGGTGGTGGACGTGGCAGCTCTAACACTCATTCGGTAAACAACAAACCCAATGGGTAGTGAGGGCCTGCATTAAACCTTGGAGCTTCACGTCTGGGGAGAAAAACTGCGTGCCAGTCCTAAGAAAAGGCACCCCATAGTCCATCACCCAGTGAACTAAGGAAAGTCTGAATCTCTAGCTGGCCAATGAGCCCCTCCAGGAAATTTAGGCTGAAAGCGAAGTCGAGAGAAAGGCTTAACGCAGGCAGTAGAGCAACGCCTTCTTAGATGGCAGAAAATTTGGCGCGTCCAACCCAAATAAGACGGGCAGACTCGCCAGGGGGAGGGCTGCCAGGGACTTTTGGTTTTTCAATGGCTTCTGAGGTTCCTCAAAAGTTTGGGATACTTCCAACCGCGCCTGCTTGCACCCGAGACCCGACCTTTCAGGAGGGATGGAGCGAGTGGTGCACGTACCTGGCAGAGACAGGAGTCTTCCAGCGAGGAAGCAACAAACGGCCGCGAGGTTGTAGAGGCAGCGACGAATTCCCACCATAGTGGGCCGGCCCTACGGGCGATCGGTCAGGGCAAGAGAGACAAAAAGAGAACCGGCGTCCCCGGCAGCGTCTGTAAAGATCTGGTCGTGGAGAGTGAGTCACTGCCACGTGGTTCATTCACAAACACAAGGATGGGACTAGTCGGGGCGTGTTGCGGCCTCTTTTTCGCTCCCCAACTCCTGCAAAAAGTGCCTGCGTTTCCTCAGTCCTCCCGCATCATTCACAGGACTCTCGCGCCCCCTGCAAAAACTGTCGGGGCCGCCCCCTCTTCCAGCTGAAAGTCCGAAGCCGGGGCTTTCTCCGCAATTGGCCAGAGTTTTTCTAATCTAGAAGTTCAACAAGAGGAACCGATACGAAGGGTTTCCCTGGTCGGTAGCGCAACGCTCTGTCCCACTGACGGAGTCTGGAAACAGACCGACCGGCGCTGCGAGAACAGCTCCGCCCCTTCACCGTCGGCGCCGGGGGGGGGGTCAAAGCAGACCATCCTCTCCGCGACTGGTGACGGAAGGAGTTTTGGGAATCTGTTTAACATTCATCCGTGCTGGCTGAACAGTCTGATTGCCCTGAAAGGAGAGAGAACACGCGAAGGGGAATCAGGAAGTACTGTCCGCAGATCTGAAAAAACGCCTATAATGCTTCATTAAAAATAGCATCTAACAGGTTTACCCAACTAGGTGGCAGCACTTAGCTCATCCTGGCTGATGTTGTAAAGGGAAGCTACATGTATCTGGTCAGGATTTGGGAGGCAGAGATCCCCGCTAGGGTGAATCGTGAAAAATCCTGGAAAAAAGAAAAGGCAAAACATTTCCAAAAAAAAGCTACACGGATCTGTCGTCACCAGGCAGGAAAACTCAAATGTGTCCCGGTTTGGGGCATTTCCCTGACACTTAAATGCAAAACAAATATACCTTGGCAGCTATAATATTGATATGTGAAGGTAGACAATTGGGTAAATTGTGTTTACATAAATCAGAAGCATGTTGTGTGATAGCAGCTAATGTGTATTCACACATTAATTATGTATTTGGTGTGCTTTGTGAATCCAACAATTGTGGTTTATAGACCATAATTTATTATTTGATATGTCTGAATGAAGCCTATGTTTATTCAATAAACTATAGTTAAGCAAAGCAGGGCCTGGCTTATTTATATTGTTACTAATAGTTACTAATAGCTTGCTAACCAACTCTTCACCTTAAATTTTCTGTAATATTCATAAAATATAATAAACATGAAACTGTAATGTGAACATTCCATGGAAAATAGAGGAGTCCAGAGGTAAAGCTGAAAAAAGAATCAAGTGAAATAAACATCATTTTAGCCCCAAGAAAGAAATTGAAGATAATTCTGCTTTGATCGTCTTTGGCAGAAGAGAATGCAGAAGTAAATACTTTCAACTTTTCAAGTTGCTGTTTATGTAACCTACAACAATATAGAAGAGTTCCAATAATTATTAAATATACATTATAGCAAAAATATCTGAATAGTTACTTAGAATGCTATTGAAAGGAAATTATAGACGAACACAAAGAGTGTCTTGGAGAAAATATATGATGTGAGAAAAAAACTAAATTGTCAGATGTTGACTCTCTTAATAATAAAGAGGAAGGGAAAATGCTGTCAACGATTTTCTTTCTGGATAAGCTAGAGAATGTTTTGACATTCTATAAATGTTGAAAAGTTGATTGTGAATTTCTAATTTTCAAACAATTAGCAATTTTAGAAAAATAATGTGATGTTTTATTTTTAAAGTGTTAGTGTACTTCTGAGTGAAAACTACAAAGTACTGGTTATGCATCATTTTACATAAATTTTGTTAGATACAATGGAAAAATGATAACGAAAATATACTGCAGAAGACATCCATTGTATGGCGGTATGGTACTTGAGAACAACTATAACAAACAATAAACTATGCACCATTTTAATGGATAAATTTAGTGACTGGCAGGAGAACTAGCTTGCTAAAACTTGTCATAGATGTATGACATCCTTTAAAAGTAATATGTCCATTTAACCTATGAGTAATTATGAAAATCAAGCATTCCTTTGCACTGAAATATAATTATATGTGTAATGAAAGGCAGGATTAATTACTACTAATTAATAGAATCGCTAAAGGCAAATAAGCTTTACTGTGTGTAAAGAAAATTGCATTTCTAATGCAGGTACTTGACCTTTTGGGAAAATACACATTTTGGCTATTCTGCTATGCCAGGCTATAGATTACAACAATTATTACATCGGCAACCAGTATGAACCATGATGAATCATTATGTGCCATGACATCAACGCAAAATGATGTAGATTTGTAATTTGCCCATGCACCTAACCTCCTCATAGCATACTTTCTTAATATTAGCACAAACTATCTTGGACTAGCAGCAAATAAATTAGAGCAGGGTGTCAAACTCACAACCTCACGTGACATGTTGTGATGTAATCGTTACTTTTTCTCCATTGACAGCAATGGGGTGGCATGGTTTTGGCATGGCGTATCTGGCCCGTGGGCCGACAGTTTAACACCCCTGGATTAGAGGAAATTTTGTGGTGGCCTAGAGATGAAGCTCTCACCTCACAATCAGGAGGCTGTGGGTTCAGTCCTAGGTAATGGCAGATATTTCTCTCTCTGGGTGCAAAGAAAAGATATCTGCTGTGAACTCCATATAGGTGTCAGGAAGGGCATCCGGCCAGTAAATCCAGTTGCCCCAGATTGACCCCAATGCAAGGGATTACAGGATCATTAAAAGAAAAAAAATGACCTAGTGTTTACTGTGGTAGTTGGTTGACAGATTATGCAAGATTAAATCCAATTAGAGGGGTTAGTTTTCATGCAATGTGTTTTGCAGAGCCAGTCAATTGGCCAAATGCAGTAAATCATAGTTTAGTGTTGTGTGAATAAACTTACTGAATAATTTAGCCAACCAGATTTTACTTACCTAGTATATTTTGCCCATGTAATCACTTTTGAAGAAACTATATTGGCTATCTTAAACAGACTTAGAAGCTTTCAAAATATAACTGGATGATGTTGTGAATAAAATTGAACTGAGGGGACCATTTCTATCTTAGTTTTATTTATCTATTTATCCTATTCAGCTTGTATAGTCTCCCTGTAAACATGCAACTCTGAACAGCTAAAATCTAAATAAAGTAACAAAACCACTAGCAAAAGTCAAAGCCCAACAAGGCATTTCATACCACTATATAAATCAACTCCCTAAACATGAGCTTATCTAACTTCCTGGTCCAAAGTCTGAGAGAAAAAAACAAGACCATCCTGATCTTGGAAGCAGTTCCACAAGATAGGCACAATATCAGAAAATAAATCTCCTGGATCCCATCAACCCACCTCAGAGGGTTGTTGTGGGGAAAAAAAGGATATTAGATATGTTTGCCACCTTATACAAGTAATAAAGGTGGTATAAAAATACATTTAAAAATAATAAAAATGATATTTTAGCAGAAGGGCATGTCCATCCTGTCATATTTTATGGATTGGGCAGAAAAAAACTGCAGACAGGCTATTTTGCAAATGATCTGGCCCTGTGCCTGAAGGGGTCTCTAAATATAACCAGCATCTTTTATTGTAGAAACTTGCTTGGGGCCAATTGCAGCTCACAAAGAAGTGGTATTATATGCTCATATTATGGTATGCCCATAACTTGTACTGCTGCATTCTGGATCAGATGCAGCTTCTGAGTAATCTACAAGGACAGTTTCATGTAGCATTCATTGCAATTATCAGACAGGAGGTAACCAAGGTATGAGTGAATGTGAGCAGAACCTCCATCTAGGAATGAGCTCAGTTGGTGCGCAATATGGATTTTTGTAAGAACTGTTTTAGCCATGACTGCTACCTAGTCTTTAAGCAGGAGCCAAGTATCTAGAAGAAACCCCAAATTACACACCAGTTTTATCTGGGAAAGCCCAACCTAATTCATTAATGGGAAATGACCAGATCTAGGGCACGCCTTAAAAATATAGCCATTCGGGTTGCAGTGACTTGGATAGGAAGAAAGAGGTGTGTAGGTATCACCCTAGCAAGATCCCCAGGTGGCAATCTGGAGATATTATCAAAGTGGGAAAATAGTTATATTTTGATATTCTTATCATGAGAAGATAATCCTTAAAGAGTCTTGGGCATCTCTTCTGCTCTCTTCTGCCATTTTATCTCCCAGAGTTTCTTTGAAAACCAGAGGCCTCCTTGGAATCCACGAACAGAGAAGTAGCACAGGTATAATCTGGGTGAAAGCTACTATCACCCCTGAAAGGGGATTGCTGCAGGCCACTTTAGCTGACTGTGTTCAGCAGGTCAGCGGTTCAAATCTCACCGGCTCAAGGTTGACTCAGCCTTCCATCCTTCCGGGGTAGGTAAAATGAGGACCCAGATTGTTGGGGGCAATGTAAATATATATATACATTGCTTACTGGTGTACACCGCTTAGAGAGTGCTTGCACTTAAAGCGGTATATAAGTCTCATAAATAAATAAATAAATAAATTGCTCTGCCAGCATTCCAGAGCAAACATAAATGCTTTGAGAGATTTTTTCAGACATAGCATTGTCGATACTTATTTCAGCAATGTCTCATATTTTCATTCTTTTCCACCAGCTTTGTTTTTGCCTCCTGTCCATTTCCATTTAAAATATTTTTTCTATCTTAATTTCTAAAGAAGTAGAACTGTTACCCAAAATATTAAGGATTTTAATTTTATGTATTTGGAACCTTTGAAATTGTTCACTACTGTAGTTTGAACACAAGATGTCACTCTCATTTTAACTTTTATTGAATCACAGACTGAAACGTGTACCTAGAAATGTTGATTTATAGCTCAATTTCCTGGGCAAAAGTTGAAGACACATATCCAACATGCTATCCTGGACAAATTTTACACTTTAATTAGAATATATTAGTTTTCCCCAAACATCATAAAAAGATTGGGAACTACTGCTCAATACTATTTCTGCCAAGTATTTTCCTACACAAGAAACATTTTGAAGAATGCTTTTGGTTTTTAAGGAGGCCTTAGAGAATTTGGCAGAGCTTGTGTTTCCAGCTGATTTTATAAATAAGCAGTGATTTTAGAACTTCCAGTTCCATTTGTTTTCTCTCATCTGTCAGGTATATTCCAAATAGGGAAAATCCATCCTACAAGAGCATTTGTGCCAAGCATCTACTTGGAAAATTATACCAGAATGCCATAAAAATGGAAATATCGTATTTCCAAAATCTATGATGGCTTGGACCAAGTGCTTATGTGCTGGCTTTTTTCTTTCTTCCATTCTGTTGTTTTGCCTGGACAATATTTCTTTGCATATATCAGTTTATCAAATAATTCTGTTTCATTGATTTTATAGGTACAAAGCAGAAACAGCTCAGTTTAGCAGGTTTAAACCTAACTAGTATTTGGATAGGAGACCTCTAGAGAATACCAGGGCTGTAGATCAAAAATATATCGCAGAAGCAATGGTAAATCACTTTTGTACTATACCCAGAAAAACAACATGTGTCTGTGTATGTTTAAATAAGTCATCAGCAGGAAATTGTTCTACCTGTTTCCAAATGGGATCGGGTCTTCAGGGCCCATATGAATGATGGCAGCTCATTGAAAAGTGCTCTCCCCACCCATTTTTTTAAAAAATTAAGCAACAAGAACATATTTCTGGAAGTGGTTTTCTTTTTAAGAAAAGCCTTGACCTGCAGCTGCATGAAACACACACATCTCTTCTTTTGAACAACTTTTCTTTCAGGTCTCAACATTTCATGACAATGTCTATCATGCTGATGTTTTGTTTTTCTATCAGTAACCAGTATTGTGTTGTTAAACAGAGAACTAATTGTACAGAACCAGAGCCAGATTTCACTAAGAGTCATCAGAACATAAGATTTGACAGCTGAAAGAATTTTGCTTGTGCTGAGAAACTGCCGATATTCCAGTCAATAAAATCACACAAATTCTTCCAATGGGTAGTTCTAATGACACAAATATGGAAGTACTATACAAGACTTTGGTAAGGTGGCTCAATGCTAAGAGTTTCTTCTGTACTGCATTATGGGCAATATAGGATGGCTACCCTCTCCAGTTAAAGGGTTTTCAAGAGATTACTTCTTTCAGTCTGCCAAAAAAAAAAAAAAAAAAAGCCCCCCTCCAGGTTTTAGTTTACTATAAACATTAGTAATTTTCTCACAAAATAGTAAGCTTTACATTCCATTAAGGATGGAGAAACCAACTCAAAAATCAAGTTTTATTTTAAATTACTTTGAATACAAACATACATTCATAAAACGAGAAGCAGTATAAAAATGTTTTCTGAAAAACAGACACGGGGTGGTGATGTAAGTGAAAGCAATTCAGGAAATAAAGCATTAATCTGAGAGGGTAATTATTGGAAGAGAAATGGCTCCTGCAGAGACTGGAACAGTCAGAGGAATGGATACACCCACACATTTCATCATGCCAAAACCATGTTTGTAGTCACACCTACAACAGGTCTCCTGACCTCATCTCAAATAGAAGACTACTGGGAGTAGTCAAAGGGGGTATAAATGGTGAAACAAGTATTATGACATTGTTCTCCAACCTCCATGTGTTTTACACATGCTGTGATATTGTACACACTTACAATAAGGGTTGAGCTTGCCTTGTGATGGTGTGACACGTTTAATTTTTTTTGACAAAGCATCAGACCCTTTGTTTAAATATATGATTCAGTATGGAAGTCTTGAGGTATACCATTACAACGGATAATTTTTCATGAGAAAAAACATATTGGTATCTAGCCAGAAGAAAGTCCCATGGATGAAATGAACTGTGCTCCTTATTAAGCCTAAATGCCCCAATGCAAAAGACACCCACAGTTTAAAAAGGAAGGTAAGTCATATGGTACCTCGTTAACGGCATTTTCCCAGTAACAAAGGTTTTAGTAAAAAGGAAGTTGTCCTGTGGTAATTTTGCTTTATTGCTGTCCACGGGACAGAGGACTTTCATGAATTATATCATTTCCAAAAACGATTAGTAGTTGTTAGTGCGCGCGTGTGCAACACTGTCGTCTGTTACAAAATCTGTAGCCTACCAAAAGACTCCGTGCAGCAAATTTAGGTAGCATTGCCTTGTGCAGCAAACAATTAACTCTGGCTCGGTTGACAGCTGAATTCTTCCCTCCTTGTGCAAACAATTTAGAATGCCTTCATCTTTCGCTTTCAGTGGCAAACTTATTCTCATTGGCTTGACATTCCACACAGTATTCCTTATCCGCCTTCAATCGGTGGTCTAACAACCCCAGCTCTTTCTTCGTCCCGCCCTTTCGTTTGCGCTCGCTCGGAACTGTTGTTGTGCTGAAGTCAAACTGAGCTGCCATTCAAGCTTTCTCTCTCTCTTAACCAAAGAGGAGACACAGACCTCGGCTGTGTGTCAATCTTCAATTCGATTAGCTATATTCGCTGCCCATCCAACAGGAAGCTCTCTCGATTGGTGGAAATCCGCAGGCAGGTCCTGCCCTTCTTCGCCCTGTGGTGGCCTCCAGCCAGCTCAGGCGATTTACTTTGGGTTGTACGGTCCGGGGAACTCAGCTGGGCGCGCGCGCCCGTTCTTTCTTTTCTCGGTGCTGCGGACTAGGTGGAGAGGAGGGAGGGGAAGGACCCGCGGCCGCTGCGGCCCAGGTTTGTGTAACTGGGTCTGCTGGAAAGCGACCAGTTGCTCCCTTCCGTGTCCCACTACCCTGCCTGGGTATCTACCGCGGAGCATTAGACCGTTTACCCCGGTGTATCGCGCTTCCACTGTTCTCCTGGAAGGCCTGTAAATATGAGCTGTCCCTTGGAATGCGGGATGCACCGCCCCTCTTCCTCCTCTTCGAGGCAGGTAAAGGCAGCAGACCGGTATGGCGAATCGCAGTGCCTACTGTCGAGGCGGAGGGGGGGGGGGAAGGGTCTTTCCCAAGGTGTCCAGCGAGAGGGAAAGGAAACTGAGCTGGGTGGATTCTGAGCCGAGCAGGAGCGAGCGAATGCCTGTATGTGTGCGCGCGCGCCTCCCTAAGTTTTGCATGCCGACGTTAACAGAGGCGTGAAGATCCGGGTAACTTCCTGGAGGTCAATACACGAAGAATAAGACTTAGACTTATCTATAGTTTCTAGAGATAAGTATGTCAGGGCTCTGAAGGAAACATGTAGAGAGGTAGTACGCTGTACTTTAGCGGAACTTTGTGTAACTTGTCATTGGCCCCTATATTGGGTCCTAAAAAGCGATACCAGGCAACTGCCCAGTCAGAGATGGAGGAGTATCTGACCACCTGGATGAGGCTGTTGGGGAAAGGCGAAAAAATAACTTCCTTATCTTTATCTCTTTTTTTCTGTATCTGTTGCACACTGTAATGTTTTGCTTGACTATCTTCTCATCCAGGAACCACTAAATCTTACTGTGCGTTATTAATAGAGCTGGTTTCCATAGGTGTTTTGAAATTATAGAGTTGATACTATTAGGTGCCACTGATCTTAAGATTTGTGGTTTCTGCTTAGGTTTTTCATTCAGTACAGCATAGCATAGACATGTCCTGAATGGAAAAGCTGAGTGTTAATTGTAAGGAGTTTTCCTTTGTCCCCTTTATGTTGCACATGGGTTTATTTGTGCATCTATTTTGAGGTCCTTTAAATTAATGCAATCTGCTGCTTCTATAATGGTCTCTGAATGCAGCAGAATAATATGCTTTTTGTGTATATAATTGGGAATTATCTCTTGTAAATTAAAAATCTGCCCTTCATATGGATATAAGCATGATTTCAGAGGGGAAGCAACTTTCATACCCTTGCTTGTTGGATGTTTTTCAGTATTGTTAGACAACAGGTGCCATTATTTTTAGAGAAGGCTGTATAGACTGGTAAATCAGATTATATGATAATCTCACTTCAGGGATGTCTGATTTACTTTTTATAAATAATCCCATAAACTATTACTGTCTTTAAATTGTTAAAGTAAGATCAAATATTTGGATTAGTTTCATATTTGAAACTTAACTGATCAGTACTCTAAAACATTTTCCCAACCTGGTGCTCTTCTCAATTCTTACCCTAAAAGTTTTTTCAGCTTCATCATGATACAGAATTCTAATCCCCATTTAGCACCAAAACTGCATTTTTCCAATGTTGAAAAGAGTATATGGTGCTGACAGATGGAAATAAAGATACAACATACTTTAATAAATTCTGCTAAGTATGAAAATGTTCCCAATTTACAAAAGAAAATGGCATGAATATTTCTGGAAAAGTATATGGATTGCTAAGACTTTTTAGTAAATTACATTTTATAAATTATAGCAAAGGTGTTAAAATGGTGCTGGCGTGAGAAAAGAAAAGTGTTATGCATTAATGATGCTATAGACTTTGTACACTATCATGAAAAGTACAGTATGGTTATTACAAATTAGCTAGTAGTCATTAAGGCATTAGTCTAGAAATGAGGAGATGCTTAGTTCTAGTCTTTCTTACGCACAAAACCAGTTGGGTAACCTTGAGCCAGTCACTCTTTCTCTGTGCTAGGAAGCCGACAATGGCCACTTCCAAAAATATCACTTCCAAAGAAAAACTTGCCAAGAAAACTGCAGGAACTAATCCAGATAGTTGCCAGGAGTCAGAAACTGACTCAAATTCACCTCCTCCAAATAAAATAAAAACAGATGGACCTTCTGGAAAACTTTTATATGTTTTTATTGAACATTAAAATGGGTAAATATAAAAAGATACAAATTAAAAAATGAATGATGAAGTTTATGTTTTTTATAATTTTCTAGAATATTATAATTAATTGTAAAAGCAAAGTATTATATCATTCTACCAAACTAAAATGTAGTTTTCTACTGTTGAAACATTTTGCTGTGTAAACCTTATTTTCTTGTAATGGGAGTCCTACATTTTTATGAAGATCAAGCTATTAGTGATAGAAATTAGATTAAAATAGGTGTCAGAGAAGATCAGATTGGTTTAATTTATCACTTAGCCATAGTCAAGAATTCCATGAAATGTAGAAAATCACATATATTTACTATGAAGTAGTATAATGATACAGCATCAGGTTCACATATGCTGTATCTTCTACAAAGTATTCTAGACACTATGTTCTCTTCTTCTATTTAGACCACGGGTGTCAGACTTGCAACATCACGTGACATATTGCGATGTATCATGACTTTTTTCCCATTGCTGGCAATGGGGTGGGTGCTGTTTTGCTGTGACGCATGCGGCTTGCAGGCCAGCAGTTTGACACCCCTGATTTAGACTATTTGATCTATCCCTTTTCATCAAGTCTGATGGCAAAGCTGATTCTAGCCAGGAGGTTCATAGTGCTTGAGATGTTATGTTAGGTTAATTTTCTGATTATACTGTGCAAGAAATTTGGGAAGAGTCCAGGATTTATTTGTAATGAAGAAATTCCCATCTGGATCAATTGGAGATTTCTCTACCAATATATTTTGTTGCCAAAAAAGGAGACATTGAGAAGTGCACTAATTATTTACAGTTGACCCCTAGGTAGAGTTCTTTAAAACAGCTAAAGGTTGGTAGTTACTAAAATAGTCATTTCTTCAGTTCTTGGCTTTGAATTCTAGTTCTTCTGACCTTTCCTTACTTGTAACCTGAACTTTCACGTTTCAGTCATCTAAATTGCACTACAGACTTTGTTTCCAAATTACATCATCATGCTTTTATCTGGCTATCTCTGTAACTATTTCTTGGGCTAATTAACTCCAGTCTGCTATCCTTTATGCTTTTGGTGCCTTGGTAATCTCATTGAACATATCTAGATGTACTGTTATAAGTATGGAGACATATTTGAACAGGAGACATATTTGAACAGGGTGATCAATCAACAGTATAATGGTTTTGCTTGGTATATTTTGGTATCCTATCCTTCTTCCAGAGAATTTAGGAAGTGATAGTTCTTCTTTCCAATAACTTTGTGACAAAGTTATGAGGGCTCATAACCTATTCAGCACATTGCTATCTGAATGGGGAATAACTTCACATCTAACAATTCACATTCTACTTCTTATCTAATATAGTGATAATTATGTCAGTGGAAAACAATGTTAAATCAATATGAATACAGGCTACTGGTAATTTTGAACACTATCAACAAGATATTGCTGTCAATTCAATTTGGTGATACCCTTCAATTCAGATGTATTGAGGCTACAGCTCCCAGCCATCATAGACAACTTGGGAATTTCCTCATTAGTGGGGGGTGTATACACTGTATGATTCAAATGCCATTTCTATTCTAGTAGTATAAGGGAAAGGACAAATTTGTTTCTTTAAAGAAGCAAACCTCTAAGAAGAAAGAACTACCTTGTTAGTGCAAAACTATAGAGAAATAAATTCCTTTCACATGGTTCTAGATTATAGTATTGAAACCTGCATGTTTCTGGCAGAGTCCTGCAAGAGTGAATGAATTATTGTGTAAATGTATGTGTGCACTAGTAAAGGTTCTTATTTAAAATATTATGGCTGGGGGAAAGCAAATATCTGAACTCCATCTAAAGAGGGAGTACCTGGCCAAGTTACTATGTTCTGACTTTTCTTTGGTAATTGAGATGAAATATTTGTATCATGAAACCTTTTATAATGAAAATGAATTTCCCCTAACCTACTATGCAGTGTAGATACTTGACAGTCAATTGACAGGGCAATTCAGATGGAAAATACCTTTAGGCTGATCTAAAATATTGTGAAATAAAACCAGTCACTATTTTCAATTATTGAATTATTTCTTTGGAGTACTAGTGCTTGACAGTTTTACATTTACAAATGTTTAGCAAAAACTTTAACATATTGTATAAATGCAAGTTTTGGATGAAATTATTCCATATTTTATAGAAAAAATTATGAGACACTATCTCTACCAGCTACAACAGTTTACTAAATCCTTTACTATATGAACATGTACTGTCACCTAAATGGAAAAAAATAATTTGTTAAACCTCCTCCTCTGATCTCCTGGACCGAAATCTTACCATTATCTGGTTAAAAGCCTTGAATAATCAAATTTTCTTTCTTCTTCTTCTTGATTTGTCCCATGTAAATTTCACACATTTTAAATTTTTTTTAATAAAAAAAATTTGGAAAAAGAAAACATTGATGTATCCTTCATTTTCAGTATTCAGCCAGAGGAAAGAAACAGAGATCAACCACTTAAGATGTGAGAGGTCTTCTTCTAAAGGATTGTTTTTACAAAATGGATCGGAGCAAGCGAAATTCAATAGCGGGACTTCCACCACGTTTAGAGCGCATTGAAGATTTTGATGGGGGTGGCGGAAATGATGGGTCCATGTCCCAGATGGGCAGAGTTTGGACTTCTTCATATAAAGCCTTGATAAGTGCCTTTTCAAGACTTACAAGACTTGATGACTTCTCCTGTGAGAAAATAGGATCTGGTTTCTTCTCTGAAGTATTCAAGGTGAGTAATGACAATTATTTCCTCATCTTCTCTTTAATACAGTAATTGGAGCAAGACATAATGAATGCTGTGTTCTGTATAATATATAGGGTTACTGTATTTGACTGCAAAAATACAAATGACCATTAATGGTGGAAAACCTTTTGTTGTCATGTGATCTTCTGTTTTTTGCAGCCTAGTTATAGTATAATAGTCTTTCCCTGAAAAGTTTTGAATATGCAAAATTAATTGGGTGACAAAGTTTCTAAATGAAATGATATAAAAATGTCATTGAATAATTTGTTCACGTCCTTTTTCCAAACAGAACCAGTGATTTGAATAAAAACATAAAGTAACAAACATATAAATATACAGAACAAAAATGAAATGTTAAAATGTAAGTGAGAATACAGTATACTCGTATTTAAAAAAACATAAAGGAGATTTTAAATGCATTTTGAAGAAATCTGATATAGCATTCAGGTAGGCTTCCTTCAAGGTAGAATTCCACCAAAAAGAAATTATCAAAGTAATTGCTCATCAGCTCATTACAACTGCAAGGTTTGCTATGGATTGTAACTGCTGATGAGGTTCAGATTTATAGTTATCTCTATTTTGCTATAGAAAACAGTCATAGACAGTGGTATCCAATACCTATAGTTATTTTCTTAATACATCCTCCATGAAACATCCTCCAGAAAATACATCCTCCAGAAAACTAGAAAAAGTGGAGATACACAATCAGTATTCTGGTTTTAAATTGTATATTCAACTTTAATAGCTACATTAGTCTTCACAAACATTCTTTGTGTGCGGTCAAAATTCAAAGTGTAAATCCAGGTTAAAGAAGTTGCATTTTAATTTTTGACCTTTAAGTTTCCTTTTAATAAGATAACCATTGTAGAATCATTCCCTGACACAATTAAATTCTGCTTATCTAAGGATAATTTGAAAATAAAGCCACATTTTTACTATTCATTTTCTAGATGGTGGATAGGTGTTTATACAACATGCCTATCCAGTTTTTGAATTATCTAAGAGTAAGAGACCTCAGTCCCTCTCCTAGTATCCTAGGCACCCCAACGGTCACTAGGTAAACTTTTCAGGCTTGATTAAAAAAAATCCTTCCCATCCCCAGCGTTGGATTTACACATGGTGAGACCTTAAGCTGCAGGAAGCTACTATATTTGGCAAGCATTAACAGAGAATAAGGCTGTGTAACAATTCAATTTATGTTTTGCAACTTACACTAGCAAAATGCGTAACAAATTTATGGTGGTGTGGAGAAGGCCCACACCTGAATGCAAAAATATATTAATTAATGAGGGCTTAATTTAGGAGACTTCAGATATGAAATTAGAATAAAACTTTAAAACATGAAAAAAAAAACCCTGAAATTTTGAGAGATCCCTTCAAACTCCAAAGTCGATATAGCCTGCTTAATTTATGCCTAAAACTCCCTGACTATCCCAAATGGTGTGGTTGTCATGTGCAAAATGGTGAAATAGTGCTGTTACTTTTTTAAAAAATATGTTCTTCAGTTAAACTAAAAGCAATGGAGACAATTGCAGTAAGAATTAAAATTATAGCTACTCCTGTTCACTGATTCTGTGTTTGGAAGCTGGAAAGAGGAGTTAGTCATTGCTTAACTCTCCTGTCTGGATTTGAATAGCATGGGAGACAGGGTCCAGGTGAACTAATGTACTATAAGCAGGACTGCCACTTATAATGAAGAGTCCCTGTTATAAACCCAGCTACGTATCAGAAGTCACTTTGAGTGACATGCTATGGCTTGAGTTACCATGTGAACAAGCTCAGTGAATAAGATGTGATAGGATGAGAAATAGATGAATATTCTCTAATAATTGGCCGATACTGTATTTTTTCCTTTTAGCTGTCTATTTTAGATACTTAACAACATGTAGTGTTTATTTTCTAAGGGGGAAATCCCAGATAGGGAGGTTTTGTAATCTGGAAAATTAGTTTCTTTGTGGCTGATTCACAGAAATTTTCTCTGTGTGGTTAAACTTACAAGGAGAGATCTGTTAGAAGCAAAACAAGTACAGTTGATAGATGTCCTATCAAAATGCACTGCAACTAATTACAGCTTGCTATATTAGGACTGTACAGAAATACCCTAGGGTTTATGTTTTAAATATTTAGGGTGGCTAAATTTAAGACTAAATGATTTTTATTATAATTTGATCTGTATTTAATTCTAGCAATGTTGTTAGTCAAGTTGGGCCTTTAATTAATTCTAAGTATGCTAAGATTGTCAAATGAATATTTCAGAGAATATTACCATTTGAATAATACTATAATCTTCCTTTCTTAAAAACATATTTTAATATATTTTATCATGATTATGAGATTTCTTTCTGTAGTCTGTCCTGCTGATATATCTAATGGAGGAAAAATAATTTTGGAGCAACCTAGCTGTAAAAATAAGACCATAGTATTGTATTTCATCTGTTTGTATTCTGATATTTAGTATAAAAACCACAGCCTAATCTTCTTTGAAAAGGAAAGAGGAAGAATATAGTAGAAGACGACTGTGGCAAATAAAGATATGAGAAAGGAAACAAATAAAAAGGAAAGATAAAGTAGCAGCTGCAAAACAATCATATGGCATAGAAAACCTAAGATAAGCAATACATTTCCCAAATCCAAAGAGTTTCATTGTATGCATTAGTGTTTCTTAACTTGACTCTTTTAAGGCTGCTCTTTAAAATGTGAGATAAAAGTAAATAAAAGTCTGTAGTTTAAATTCATATTTACATATACATACTGTATATATTATATACAGTCTCTCTCTCTTTCTCTCTACACATACACACAGACATACACAAACATTTGTACATACGTAAGCATTTTACCAAGGGAATACCATGTTGACTATGAAAACTATTACCTTATTGTAAGTTTTCCAAAAGAACCCCTCCCCAATCTAATCACTATTATAAAAAGTTATGAATTTAAATCTCATATAATAATAATTCAGATTTGTTAAGTAATTAATAACAGACCTACTGTTTAAATTTCAGTTTCTTCATGTTCAGTTGATTCTAGGAAACAAATATTTAGCGTTTCTTACCAAATTTAATTTAGTATCATAGATGCTAATGGGGGATGATGTGAAAAGTTTTCATTTTGGCAGTTAGAACATGAGGTTTATTGATGTAAACATTGTGTAGCCACAGTTCCTTGCTGCTTGTGCAAATTCCTATGAATTAGTTTTTAAAACTGGAAGTACGTACTTCCTCTTACTATATACCTAATTTGCAAACAAGGTGACACTTTTTCAGTGTTCTATGTGTTGTATTGGTCTAGATTAATTAAGCAAAGTTGGACTTTGTTGTAATCCAATATCTCAGTATTTTCAGGGAAACTTAAGTCCTATCAACCTATTCTATATCTAAATCTATGTACCTTCAGTTATAATAACATGCAACAATATGTAAAGCATAATGTATAGGATTATTTTAAAAATTAGTTACAGTATTTATGTCTCTTTGTTGATTGCAGAGTATGCATTTGTTGGCAAAGTTTAATGCTTATTTTTAGTTCTCACTATTAGATAAATATTTATATCTCAGTTTGATTTAGTTTGAAAAAAACATTCTTCTTAGCTATAGAACAGGTGGCTTTCAGGATAACTTCCTTTCACAGGGATTGATCTTGGCATTTGGTCTCAAGGGAGTGGCTCAGTAGTTATAGGTTTGTATTGTACACCATCATTTAGAATTATAGGCCACACAGTGTCATTTTTTAAAAAATGTAATAGAAGATCAAATGATATATTGGAAGCTTAAATAGAAATGATTTAATGATAACCTGTGGCTTTATTTCTTGATTAAAATAATTATTGACATTTTATTGTGAGCAGCCCAGAGTCACCTTGAACCATAAGATGGGCAGCAAATAAATTTAATAATAATCATAAATTTGATAATATTTAAACATAATGTGATCAGTAAAGCACTCAAAGCAAAGAAGTCCCCAAAATTTAAGAATTAAAAGTAAAAAATAAATAACCCAAATGCAAAAAAACGCAACCAGTGAGACAAACAAAAAACCCAATATAAAAAATAAATAAAACTCCAAAACACAATCCTCTGTAGTTTGGGAATATATATTGTATGTACATTTTCTTTTCTATTTGATGAGCTGATTTATGATGTTGCCTGTTTAAGTGTCTCATGAAACCCAAGGACTTATACTAGTTGTATTCTAATATACCATATGGTTGACTTATGAAATTTTATTCCATCCCATTTCAGTCAACCCATGTAGTTCATTATCCGGTTATAGGCATGATAAAAAACAGCCATATAAAACAATATAATAATAATATCACAACTTAATACTAATTGTAATACTGTAATATTCTTCATCCACATTTATTTGTAGTGCTTCATCATTCTAAACTTGGGGATGGGGGAAATGACTGAGGGCCTTCCAGATTAGTCATGTCTTGATAAGATTCTGGAATATTCTAAAGGGAAAGCTGCTGTTCATTCCAGAGCAAATACAGTAACAGAATGCTTGATTCCACACCTCCTCGAATACCACAGTATATTGGGATCCACAGCAGACACTCTCTCTTTTCATGCATTCTGTCCTATAAAATATCTGTGCAGCTGCATTTTGTACCAACTGAAGTTTCAAGGTAGTCTTTTAAGGACAGTACCATATAAATTACAGTAAGCTGGCAGAAAGGATGGGAGTGACTGTCTTTAATGCCTCTACTCCAGGGAAGACCACATTTTTCACACCAGCCAAAGTTAGACAAAGACCATCCTGGTTGTGTCCTCTACTTGGTCTTCAAACAAAAGCCATCAGCCCAGGAAGTACCACCCAGCCCGAAGTAAAGCCTTTCCAATCACTGCAGTTGAAGGGAATATGTTCAACTGCGAACAGTGGACAACTCAGAAAACTTCACTGTAGAATATTAGCATTCGAACAAGAGGTCCAATGATTAAAATACATTATTTTTGTTAGCATTATGATGTATAACAGTAGCTGTCTATTGTAGAAGTATCACAAAAGACTTTATGGCTTGTGAAATTTGAAATGCGTACTAATGTACATCAATCCTTTAAACATGCTAATTTGCCAATGAAGTAATAAAAAGGAAATATATGCATTTTTTCATGGATCCAGATTTCACTAATTGCATAAGCAAATGTACATAGATTAATAAAACAGAATGAAATTACATAACGTCTAAAGTTGTGGGAATGTTTATTAATTTGTCAAGAGTGGTTTAAATAAAATTGCATGTTATAGGCTACATTGAATCAATGGCTTTTTCTTATGTTCCGCCGGGAAAATGAATTCATCTTTTTCTTTTTTGGATTTGTTTAGGTGCGGCATAGAGTATCAGATCAAGTCATGGCCCTGAAGATGAATACACTAAGCAGCAATCGTGCAAATATGTTGAAAGAAGTTCAGCTCATGAATAGACTTTCACACCCAAACATATTAAAGTAAGAAAAGGTGTGTGTGTTTGCATGTATGTGATTGGGTGCTCACAAGTGCATCTGTCTGTGTAGGTGCAAATAAATTTAATTTTACTACATACCACATATGGTCCTTCATGTTTTAAATATTCAGACAGTGTTCTTTGGAAGCTCAGAAGCCAATGTTGTCTCAGGCTTATGTATATTCTTAGTTCCTTGTCTCTTTCTATTATTCTTAATCCTTTCTAGTCACTTGCCTCCTGGATCAAATACATTTATGAAAATATTAGTGAAAATCACTCAAAGAATAGTTTCAGCAAGCATGCTGGCACAAACAAATCACACCTTAAAAGTGTGAAGGCACGAGAGTCAAGTTGTGACTTATTGAAGACCTTACCATGTAGCCTCTATGCATCTAGAGACAGCACTTCCCTTGGGATTGACAGGAGTGAAATGCATGTGTATGCAGTTATAATCTGGGAAAGCTTTTGAATCAGCTCCCCTGTAGCACAGCTTTGCTTTAGTGACCTATGTCAATCAATGAGTTCCTTTGAATCCTTTGCACAGTCCTACAAAATGTAGATCTTGGATCTAACCTACACAGAAAAGAGATTGGGTTATGTTCACATCTGTTGTTAAGCATCTGTTTGAAATATAAGGACCAAAAATATTCAAGTAGGATACAGTATATGTATGTCCAGTCTAAGTATTGATGTACGTGTAGGGTCCAATATTTTGTACACTGAACAGAATAAAAATTGGTACAAGGGTCTAAAGAAGTAAGTATGGCTTGCATGAATTGCTTTCCTAATCACTTTTAGCTCTCAGATGTATGTCTAGACTAATTAGGAAAATATGTTAACATCTGAGGAACCTTGCATTAAAATGACATGCCCTTGAAATGTGTTATGTATGCTATTAATTTCTATAAACATGACTACAAATTTAATTTTTAGCTTGCATTGGAAATTTCTGGAGTATAACAACAGAATTCATGAAATGTTAGAGAACGTAAAATTATTAAACTTTATTTTTTATTAAATTTTTATGCCACCCATTTCCCCTATAGGTGAATGTGGGCATCTTACAGATTATAAAAAGGCAAACAGAAAAATAATTAAAGTATTAAAACTATGCAAATTAAAAATTTAAAACCACGCCAAAAAACAGGACTAAGAAGATAGCACAGGGATAAAGTCTTCTTATCCCATCAACTCCTCCCAGTGGTGAGTGCTACTCTTGAGGCCCTAAGCCTAAGCCAATTGCCAAAGCCAAGTTTTAATACCCTTGCAGAAGACTAAAATTAGGGTGGTAGCAGTTCTCCATTGGTAGAGTATTCCACAGGAATGGGGCCATGATCCCACCTGCCAGAATTCCTCAGCAAATGCATCTGTGGCAGGCTTCTTCCGCTGGCTCCAGTGGGGCAAGCTAGTCCCATTGGGGTGAGGTGGCTCCTCAGATACATGATGGCAGCTTGCCCACCTTTAAAGGGTAGTAGCAAGAATAAGCTCAACATTAATAGCTGTAAATATTTATGATTTTTGATATCTATAAAAAAAAACCTAAAGCAAATTTCATTCATATTTTATGCTTCCTAGAATACATATTCCTATTTTTAAAATCTATTAAAATAATAAATATAGAAAAAATTAAGTACCGTGGTGGATATTGGATCTCTTCCTCTTTTATGTGACTTGGAATTATGGAAATCAATATTTCGATATAACGTATTGCCTTAAAATATAATACAAAGTAATCATGGAGCAGTGGTGTAACATGGATCAGCCTAGGGACTTCAAGAACTGCCCATTCAACTGCATCTTGACCGGTTGTAGCTTCCGATTGCTCTTCAAGGGTAGCCCCATGTAGAGTGTGTTGCAGTATTCCAGTGTTTCCCAAACTTGACAATTTTAAGGCATGTGGACTTCAACTCCCAGAATTCCACAGCCAGCAACGCTGGCTGTGGAATTCTGGGAGTTGAAGTCCTCATGCCTTAAAATTGTCAAGTTTGGGAAACACTGCAGTATTCTAAATGTGAGATGACCAGGGCTTGAGTGACTGATATAGGGACTCCCAATGAAGGAAGGGCCACAGCTCGCATACAATGCAAAGTTGTGAAAAGGCTCTTCTAGCTGTGACTGCAGCTGCAGTCTGGCTCTGTCTGGGGAAATGCAACCCCATCCAGAATTAAAGTCAACGCTCTATGCCTCCAAACCCATTCAGTTTTGCCAGGATTCAGCCGAAGCCAGTTGCCTCATCCAGGCCACCACAGCCTCCAGGTACTTTGAGAGTACAATGACAGCATCACTTGAATCACTAGGGGTGGAGATATAAAGTTGAGTATCATTGGCGTACTGATGATACCTCAACACATGGTGGTGGCGAATGATCTCACCCAGCAGGTTCATGTAAGAGGTGGAGAGAGTACTGAGCCCTGTGATATGTCCAAAGGAGTGACCATGGGATGGACTTCTCACTCCATATCAGTTGGGACCGGCCTTGGAGAAAGGAGCCAAACCAGCGCAAAACTCCTGCCTGGGCCCAAACCCCATAGCTGGCCCAAAACGATATTATGGTCAGTGGTATTGAGAGCTACTAAGAGGTGAAAGAGAGCAAGAATAATTGCAGTACTCCCATCCTGTTCTCATCAGAGATCATTAGCAAGTGTGTTCAATGCTGTCTCTATCCCATAACCGGGCCTGAATCGTGACTGGAAGGGGTCTAGATAATCCATTTCACCCAGAACCACCTGAAGCTGCCAAGGAACCACCTTTTCTACCACCTTCCCTAGAAAGAGAAAATGGGAAACTAGATAGAATTGTCCAGGCAGGTGGGATCGTTATGTTTTTTTTTAAGGAAGGAATAAACCGGGACCTCCTTAAAAGGTCCGGAAACTCCTGTCCTGCAGTGATGAATTTATCACTGCTTGAACCCATCTTGTCCTCACCATCCTGGAAGCTTTCACCGATCAGAAGAGGCAAGGATCTAATTGACAGGTGGTTGCATCTCTCAAAGTTTTAGAGAAAAGACTGGACAGCCACCTCCCAAGGAAGGTTTAATAAGTTTTCCTGCACATTGCAGAGGATTGATGATCTTTGTGGTCCTTTCCAACTCAATCATTCTGTGATTGACATTAATATTATAAAAGGTAAACATGAAATCTCAAGATTAAAAATATAAAAACAAGCATAATAAACTAAGTCACGCATGATTTGTGTGTTCTTTTTCTCTCAATGAATCAGCTTAGTTTGGGAAAAAAATGAAGTTATATAAATCAGAATAAATACTTATGCTTCCAAAATGAGCATGTTTAATTTTGTATCTAACGTAGAGTGTATTGTTAGTCATTTTCTTAACCCTGTATTGTCAGACTTAAATTATTAAAGCATCTTGATATGACGTACACTTATTTAAAGATTTTAATTTTTAAAAATTAAGTTACATTAATTTTTTATTGTAGTTTTTTTCTTTGATTTCTGTGAGTCAGTCAGAGCTATGGAAAATTGGATGGTATACAGATTTAATAAATAGGAGTAATCATCATCACCACCGTATACTACACCAATACATTACAACATCCTACATTCTTGGAAAGAACTTGATACGTACGAAGGCAACATCAAATAAAGAACTGGCAGCTCTGATTTTATATTATTGTGTATATAATAGCAACTTTGCCAAAGGTTACCTATATATTACAGAATATTCACAATTAACACTGGTAAAATTTATGAGTCACCATCTACTGATGTTTGTTTATTTTTCTAAGCTTTCTAAACAGATGATTGAGTTATTACTTCTTGTGTTATGCCTCCATAATTGAACATGGCTGGTAGTAGTTTTCTGTTAGAAATAAGCTTTTACTACATGTGTTCTACAGAAATGACTTTAGCCTATTTTTTGTATCCTAGTTTAAAATATCTGATATTTATTTGTTTTATAACTGTGCTAAGAGAAATCTAATTTGCTTTGTATTTGAAATATTTCAGCTTCAATTCCTGGCATTTCTCAGTTAAAATCAGTATTGATTATCAGTGCTGGGAGAGTTTTCTATCAAAGACCTTGGGAAATTGCTGTCAGAATAGATAGTATTGAGCTAAATGGATCAGTGATCAGACTCTGTATATAATTTGATATGTCAACCTTATCAATATTGATATTGATAAAATCTAGTTGTTGATATATATTGTTTTTGATTATTGTTATGGATGAACCATCTACAGAAAAGAAGGTGGAGGAAAGTCATGATATTGCATTCAGATACATAGGAAAGATGACTTGAAACTATGATATTTTTCAGCATAAAAATGGTTTTCTGAGGATCTCACATGTGCTCTTTTTCTATTTGTAATAGAAATTACAGTTTAATTCTGTACTTCTTCATTTTTTCTTTGCTTTTTTTGTAAAAAAATGTGGCTATTACAAAAACTTCTTCAAATATCCAAGTTCCCCAAAATAAGAGATGCTAGAAAAATTTTATGTGTAGTTATTTTTTATTTTACTTTTTATTCTATCTTTATTTTATAAATAACTCAAGGCAGTGAACATAAGTGATGCCTCTTCCTCCTCCTATTTTTCCCCACAACAATAATCCTTTGAAATGAGTTGGGCTGAGAATTGTGACCAGAGTTGCTTTGTAGTTACACAAATCTAACAATTCGCTTGCTAATTAAACCCATCCTGAGCAAATTAAACAAAGCAGAAATGAGTCATTCCAAGTGTTCCTTTTTTATATGTCATCTGTTTTTATTTATTGCAAAAGAACAATCCATATTTTGGGGAAATATTATTGTATGTTAGTACTTAGGAAGGAATAGAAATATAATTCAGCAAGTTTTGCAGAAGAACATTGTAGATTGGAAAAGAACCTGGATCAGATAATGTACTTCTGAATCCATCATGATAAGATTTTTAAAATCAAGGTGCTAAAATAAAATTGAGAAAGTAAAATTCAGACATCATGTAAACTGTCCTTCAGACAGAGGGATCTTGCAAAAGAGCTTTATATGGACACAGAGATCTGATAT